TTCTATAAACTGACTACGACAGACCCATTTGTTATCTGCTTTGCCTATGATTTGGCTGGCCCAATATAGCAAAGGAAATTACACAGCTGTCCTAATTATATAGCTTCCCTAATCAGCCAATCCTCAAATCCTGTGATTACTCTTACTACTACTACTACCTCTCTCTTTTTCACCTTCCCATGTAATCCCTAAAGGCCAACGGGGGCACAACACCGGCAGGTTGGAGCACATCATGCGCTGGTGCTGCCGGCCGCCAACCGCCCGCCGTCCGGAAACACCTCCATGAGCATGGCCACGTCCTCAGCCAGTCTCCGACTCTCTACAGTACTGTACCTCTGGTGATTGGCGAGTGCACAAGGAGTCTAGCACAAGGTCCTTTTTCTTCTATTTGTACGCTACATCTTCTTCCTCTTCCAATTTTTTCTCTTATTAAGAAATTAAGATCTTGTTTTCATAGTAAAACGCTTGTTTTTCACTTGTTAGGTCTTGTATTTGGTAATGAAACCAATGATAAATGGATAAATTTGGCAAAAAGCTGCAACAAAAAATATGTGTGGTCTTTCTGTTCCTGTTTATTTTGTCTATAATTTTTTCATTTAAGAAACTTGACAAAGCAATGTTCGGATCCTGCCACCGCCACTGAAATCACATACGTCAGAGCAGACATACATTGCCAACAAGAACAACCATCCAAAAAACAAGAGCAAGAGCAGAGCTGGTTACCCATGGTGGCTGGTGTTTGGTGGAGTTCGAGGTAGATGCACGGCCGCCGTTCCTGTTGTGCTGCTCTACGTTGGCTGCTTGCCACCGACAGCCAAAGGGACGCGTGCGTCCATACATCAGAGAGAGGGACGCGAGCAACCTTTCCTCTACAGGGATCCATGACCACATCATTAGTCGGAGCCGGCAAAAGAACCTGGACGGGGGTCGCGGAGGAGTACGAGGCCACGACGCCGAGGAAGCCAGCAGGACAGGTGGGAGCCGCGCTGGTAACCAGTGGCGACTAGGGTTTGCTGCTGCTTCTAGCCGTCGCAGTAGATCGTCGACCACCGCACGGCCGCCCCGGTTCGACAAGGCCGACGTCGGGGTTCTGTTCCACCAGATCTGCGCGCGCCCAGGATGTCGTTGCCACTGCACCTAGTACGAGGGATGGGGGATGTGTGCCATTGGGAGTGGAGGAAGCTTAGGAGATTCCGGGTAAGAGAGAAGGCGCAGGTGGGGAGGTGGAGGAAGGAGGCATCGCCGGGACGGTGAGGGTGTGCAGGAGGGATAGTGGAGCGATCGAGGATGAGGGATAAGATGAGGGGGCGGCGGCGGGGAGGAGAAAGAGGTTGGGGAAGGGAGTGTTAGCCTGTTAGGGTTAGGTTTTATACATGAATGGTTTGGGTGGGCTCAAGTGGGCTTTGGGCGGGCTCGGGTGGGTTTGCGGGGCTGTACTAGAACATCGATGACGGTTTTCTAAAACGTCATGAGAAATCTGTCATGGATTAACAGGTTTCTTGTAGTGGTCGTCTGCCGTTCAGCTCTCAGGAGACGCCTCCAGCTGCCGAGTTCACCGAGCCTCAGATAGGCGAGGTGCGAAATATTATCAGCCCAAACACACGCAAGAAGGCGGTCTGTGAGCAGAACTCGGTCCCATTACAGGAGAAGAAGAAGGCACGCAAAAGAAAGACTAACAAGGGTGCGAGCCAGCTGGCACCGAGTACGATCCGTGCTCAGGACGGGCCACCTTCACCCGAGGATATCTCGAGGAGGGTGCATGTGGCGGGTAGGGCGATGCTACCGACAAATATGCTCAATGCTGCAATCGGTGCTATGCGGAGTCTGCATGACAGTGTTCTTTCTTTGGAGAAGTGGCGTCTCAGAGAGAAGGATGTGGCATACCCGGTTTTCGCGGCCAAGGTGCCAGAGGGCAAGGGCTTTGTGGATAACTCCATCGGGCGTACGATCGTCCTGCGGTTTGATGACATCCACGCTATGATGAACCTTCATCCGCTGCACTACACCTTCGTTCGGCTATTTTCGCTGAGTATGGAGATGCGGATCATTCGCGACAAGACCCCGGACATCATGATAGTCGACCCCTTCTACATGCGTGCCAAGATCTTGGGCAGTGCTGGGGACCGGCAAGTCGCGAGTTCTTACCTCGAAGGCGTCATTCTGGCAAACCAAGATAAGGATAACTTCCTCGTGCCTTACTTTCCTGAGTAAGTCCTCCCCTCAACCGGCCCGTAACATATGAATTCTTAGATTTCGATCGTTTTTCTTTTAACATTTCGTGTTTTCTGCAGTGACACACATTGCACGCTCATCCTCCTAAGCCCCAAATATTCCATGGTCACGTATTTCGACCCGGACCGTCAGTCGAACGTAGACTACACAAATGTCAAGAAGGTTCTTGATGATGTTCTCCCCGGCTACGCCAAATCTGGAGGCACCTTCACCAGGCCTATTCGTAAGTACGGCAAGCACGTGTTCTCCCACAATACGACGTTCTGCTGCGTCAAGCAGCCGCCTAGCGGTCAGAAGGGTGCCTACTACGCCATCCATCACATGCGGGCGATCGTACGGGACCATCATCAACTTCTGCTACCGAGTAAACTCAAAGATTGGGCCCCGAGCGTGTCGGTAATCCAGGACGCGGACATCAGACAAGAATTCTTTCGCATCCAGTCGGAGTTTGCGGAAATCATCCATCAAGATGTCCTTCGTACCTCGGGGCAGTTCTACCTCAGAAATCAACCGTCCAACAGTGACATCGACGCAATGCTACAAATGCAGGCTGACAACGCCCGTTCTTTCATGACTCCCACGATAGACGGCGGCTTCATCCACGCTCCGGTCCCTTGAGTCGAGTCGAAAGCAGTGATGCTATGTCTAGTTCTGAAACATCGATTGGCTCATGTTGTAATTAAACTTTAATGAACTTGTAGTATGTCTCTTTGGTTTCGAGAGTCGTTCAACTTAGATGTAATCGATGCTATTAATGTCTTGCTTTTCTCTTCCGATCGTTCTGTTGCATACTTATATGTTGCTTATGTATTGTCTGTGAATTGGTACTAACGTTTCGTTTGGCTAGTGCATAGCGATGCCGTCGTATGTCGTGTACAAGGGTAAGGTTCCCGGAGTCTACGACGACTGGGAGGAGTGTCGGAGACAGGTTCACCGATTCAGCGGTAACAGTTACAAAGGATACACCACTAGGGCCGAGGCCGAATCTAGATACGCCCGCTATCTAGCGGGAGAGGGGAGGGAGCGTTGGAGGAACCGGATGAAGACGAGTTTCATCGTGATGATGCTCATCGTGATGACCGCAGCTCTCTTCTATGTGATGGTAGTTTAGATGATCGATATCGACTTGTAATGTGAAGACAAACTCGCTACTCGCGGTCTCGAGACTTGTAATATAATGTTCTATCTTTGTTCGGTCTTTTCAATTCGGAGACTAATATGATGAATTGTATTCAAAGACTAATCTTCTATTGTATTCGATGAATCTGTTGTTGATGTGTACTGTCTATATTTTGTCCAATTATACATTTTATAACCTGTGCAAAAAACAGAAAATAAAAAAAATAAAAAAACCTAATATTCATACTAATGGCGCATCACAACACAGTGCGCCATTAGTATGCCAAAGAATACTAATGGCGCATCATTAAACAGTGCGCCATTAGTATGCCGAAGTTACTAATGGCGCATCTTGCTGTTGTGCGCCATTAGTATGCCAAAGCACCTGGGTATACATGGCCCCCTGGGAGGCATACTAATGGCACATCCGGTGGTGCGCCATTAGTATACCAGATACTAATGACGCACCAGTGGTGCGCCATTAGTAAAATATACTAATGGCGCACCACTAATGCGCCATTAATGACCAAATTAGGTGCACCATTAGTAAGCCTTTTCCTAATAGTGAAGGATGGCCGCCTCCCCTACGGCTGAACCAAACGGACAAATAGCAAACAAAATCAGCGTCCGTTTGCATCAGTGTGTTGGACTTTCCCTCACAGCTAGCTGTGACCTGATCCTTTGCAAGCGCACTGGCCGACGAAGGCCATTACAGGAGGGCACTCACCAGAAATGCACTCCCCTTTTCGAAATCTAAGACCTCTACTGAACAGCAACAAAATGAACGCATGACCAGGCACTAAAAACAACTAGTTTCCCAGCCACTAAAAACAGCAGTTGAAGGAAAAGTATGCTTCTTCCAACCCCAAAAAGAGCCAAAACAACAAAACGATTGCACAACCAGCAGACTTCGTCGCGACCGACTATATAATGTATCACTTCTTGTAGAATTCGCAGGTGACGGTACATTCCCTGACGAGGTTGCATTCGGCAACGGTGCACGAGTCTTTCAGATATCTGCTACCGTAGACCAACTCATGACGACATCCTGCTGGAATGGATACCTTATCCTTGATCCTGCTCTTGACAGTGGCAATGGTGTCGGCTCTCACAACCTCCACGGTTATGGTCTTACCCTTGGCGATCTTAGCGAATATCTGTATCTTCTTCTGGGAGAAATGTTCCTCCAGCCTGTCGATGAATACGTCGGTGAGCACGAGTGGTTTTGTGTAGCTGGAGCTACACGGTACTACTTATCTTAGCCATCCATTTTGGCATCAAGATCCGTGCAGGTACATTTGTCATTTTTGTTTCTCTCAAACGAAACAACGTATAAACTTCACACTTTGCAGGACAACAAAACATTCTAATTACTACGTGGGAAAAAACTTTCAGATTTTTTCATGCATTTAAAATGCTAAAATTTATTTTTTTAATCAAAAAAAATTCACATTTTGTATATTTATGTTGGTCCAGAAAATCTGAAAGTTTTTTCACACATTGAAGCTGTAAAGTTTGTTTGATCTGGAAAGTTTGAAGTCCATATGTTCTTTCATTTGAGAGAAACAAAAAAGAGAAATCTGCTTGTTGCAAGTTAGTTGAAGAGTACGGATCTCAAAGCAATGTTGAAGGGCTGAAGATAGGAAGTTCTACGTAGGACGAGCTACAAAGGAACTTTGTGCGGTGAGCACCGCCTTCGAGGTAAGCATCGCTCTCAGCAGCGCAAGGGCCTGCAACATATATAACAAAAATCAATTACAAAAACGCCAGCAAACCGAATTACCCAGTTGGTAGGTACGTCCGTACGTTCTGCAATAGTTTAATCTTGATTACCTCCGGCTTCCCGATGGTAATGTCCATTTCCAGTACCATAACCTTGTTTCTCCCACACCAATGCTTCATCACAGACATGGCAGAGCCCTGATGTACAAGTAGATCATCATCCACTACATACCTCCCGCTCTCAACAAGCTCACGACGGAAGCAGTACGGTAATATATCATCCTTGGGGCAGCCGCAGTTAAGGGCCGCATGGCACGTCATGTTGCTCAAAGCGATAAACGGCATAGCGCTTGGATCCAGTAACATCATAGGGGCGAGGCATCTCGTGAAGCACTTAGCATTGAGGAGATCGGTGACGCTTCCATAGAGATTGTCGGACCACCTTCCAAGATGGCAAGCGCCAGGCCCCGTGGTTTTGATCACACAGCTGATAGGGTAAGTCAAGAATCCAAGGAGCAGGTCGATGAACTCATGGTTGCATTCCGCATACATGACCTTCTTCTCACGGGTGTCGAAGAAGACCTTGATCTTACTTTCTTGTGAAAAGAGACCTGCAGCATCCTGATCGGACGGTAGAATTTTGTGATTGATACTCGGCTTCACTTTCACGGTAGCACGGGCAGCCATATCATCGGTTCCATTTGCAAGAAATGCATCAGTGAGTACTGTATTTTTTGAAGGAGAGGCCTTCAGCATGGACAAAACCTGAATCACAAACGAGTCCAGAACTAGACATTAGTACTGAAAAATGATTCCGGTTTTCTCTACTCCCTCCGTCTAGGTGAGTAAGTCTTCTTAGGTTGTGCACCGTGACCAAGGAGGAGGAGAAAACAAGAGAACTTAATGTTCATTTGCTAATTAATAGCATTGCATGCAATGAACTAACCACTGCATGCCGTGTTTGGTAGTCTCAAGTCATTAAAAGCATGCACATCCACATCTCTTATTGGTTGATATGTAAAGAAACAAGAAACGAGGTAGAATTTAATGCACCGCGCCTAAGTGTTTTGGGATTATTTGGTTTTCGTAAGATGACTTACACACCTAAACGGAGGGAGTACTAACAATCTCATATTGATGCGACGTCACATATACTACATACTAAAAAAAATTTATTACCTGCTCCCACCCAACCAACTGTTCAACCACCTCAAAGTTATGGACGGTCCCATCAGAACCAAACGCCTGCGGCAGGGACTGCATGCTGCTGGTGGATGCTGGCTTGATTCTCATGTCATCACTGATCACAAACCGTTGTTTGTCATCTACAAAGTCTGTACTCGTGCCTATCCTGCCCACTTGCTCGAAGACATGCAAAACTCTAGCCATGATTAGCCAACACTTGCAGGAACTGTGAGATGACGAGCCGAGCCTGGCCCCTCCGGGAGGGATGTGAGTGGACTTGCACCACCTGGCAATAGATCAGGAAAAACAGAATTAATTAGTCCTTTTCACTGCAAAAAACGGAGGGCCGAGAGGGCATAGGGCACATATACATACCGGAACTCATCGGTGTGAGCAGGCGTGAGAAGCATGCCATGGCAGGCCTCAACCTTCAGCAGCCTACTGTTACTGAGGCGCTCGACGCTGTCGCAGAGGTTGGAGAGGCAACCCGGCGATGGCGCTCCTGAGGCGCAGCACTGGAGGGCGGAGAGCGGCAGAGTGAGGAAGGAGAGGAGTACGTCAACAAAGTCGGAGCCGGCGTCGGCGAACAACACACGGTTGCAGGATCTGTCCACGGCGAGCTTGATGTTGATGGCGGCCATACTGGTTCAGGTGGAGTCCAAGGGGCGAGGCAGGGAAATGCCGGTGCCCGGTGGCCTCTGCTGTGGCTTGTTTAAGGCTGGCCATACTGGGGTAACATAAGTAGTAACATGTACTTGGGACTCGCAAACGTACTTACGTGACAAGTAATTAAAGAAGAGAGAAATGGTTATAGTAACATAGGTAGAAACCGTAACATAATAAATGTGATGCTACTATATCATGCATGGCAATAAATGAGATCATCTATGATACTACTATATGATACTATGCACTATAGAGGTACTCCCTCCGTTCCAAAATAAATGACTCAACTTTGTACTAAAGTTAGTATAATGTTGAGTCATCTATTTTGGAACGGAGGGAGTAGTAACATAGACTAGTAATATGCATGTTACTAGTCTAAGTTACTCCCACTATGACCAGCCTAAGTACCAAGGGGGAGGAAATCACGCAAGCATGGGTCCACGGAACTAATCAGCAAGTGATTAAAATGTGACGTCTTGGGAATTGGAAGAGGTAATTAAAAGTGGTCGTCGAATCCGATGAGGCCAAAGCTGTAAAATGCATGAAATGAAATTGACCGTTCTACTCGCCCCGTTCCGATGAATAACAGCAAGTACTCGCATGTACTACCTCCGTCCTGATTTATAGGTCCCCTTCGTAGTTTGTGTCAAATTTTGACTAAAGATTTAACTAACAAAATGTTAATGCATGTTAAGAAAAATTATCTCATTGGATTCGTATTTGAACATAGTTTTCAAAAATATAATGTTTGGTGACATGCGTGAACATTTTGTTAGTTTAATCTATGATCAAAATTTGGCACAAAATACAATGGGGACCAATAAACCCGGATAGAGATAGTATTCCTAGGCATGTGTTCAAGTACCGAGGAGGGGTACAATACTGTAGGATGATTCAGATGGGCTGTAAGGCTTTGAATATTATATTTTGGATGAGTTGTAGAAGAGAGAAAGAAAACGGGCTACTGAAACAGCCGGCTGCAGCACATGCTCCTAAGCATATTGTGTGTGAGAGAGATGGACCATGTATCAAAAAAGTACTACCTCCGTCTCGATGAATAAGTCATTCGCGTCGTTCTAGGTCGACAATTTAACTATCTAAATATGTATTATATGTGACAAAAAATGTATATTTAAAAACTACATTCATGTAGAAATCTAATGATATACTTTTGATGACATAACACATATTTAATTGCTCAAATCGATGACCTAGAACTACACGAATGACTCCTAGACGGAGGTAATAGTACATATTTATATGCAACTATTGTACTTGTCGGTTTGTCTTCAACAAAGTCGATTACAGATTGGTGAAGGAGGCTCTGCTCCGGCTGAGGAATGAGATCAAAGTGAATGAGGATATCACTTTGGCGGCCTACATCGCCTGTCTCTTATGGAAGGAACGCAACAGGAGGGTTTGTTAACAGCAAGAGATGACTGTGTTAATGTTGGCTGATTTGATAAAAAATGATGTAAAGTTATTCTCTGAAGCGAGTGGTCATGTAGAGGTGGTGATAGCATAAGGTAAAGTAAAGGGTTTTTCAAGTAGTTTTTGAATGTTTCGAGTTGCTCTTTCTTATCCGAGATCCTGTTATGTTTGGATCTTGTACTCGTACTGTCTGTTTCCTTCTCCCACTATAATGCAAAAGCAGAGCTCCTGCTGTTCCCTTTAAAAAAACTTACCAGTTATAAGCTTGACTATAAATGATGTGGCAAGATCATATATATTCAGTAGCTGACGATATTATTAACCATGCTCTAAGTTGCCACGCTTCGTTCTAGCTAGGGTGCCACCCGTCTCGGGCCAGTCTGCCCACAATTCTGTGTTTATTTTGGTTCATTTGATTGAAAAGAAGTTTACTATATGGAAGTTGTAGAAAAGAAGTTCAATAATCATATATGCATGTGTTGGTCAGCATAGGCTGTACCTCAAAGTACACAACATTTGTAGCACAAAGATGCGATCGTGCCATGAGGACACAATGTTTTCATGATGGCCCTCCCAGTGCTCCACTGTGTGCAGATGTTAAGGATGCTACATAGGCAAAAAATAATGTGGCAAAGCAATTAAAGAAAGAAGAGAGCATTACGTGGACCCCAGAAGGAAATAGTACTAAGCACATGGATCTATGCAAAATACCTACCAACCAATGCATGAAGTGATATAATTGCTAAACATTTAAGGCTGGTCGTGGTGGGAGTAAAACTTAGCTAGTAACATAGCGTAACTCGATCAAGATAAGGTTGGTCGTAAATGGGAGTAGGCAATTTTGATGAGATGACATGTAATTAAATGAAGAAAGAGAGGATTAATTATCATATCATGATACCATATCATAATAAATGTTATGCTACTATATGTCATGCATGACAAAAAATAAAGTACAATATGATACTAATACATGATACTAGGGAGGTAGTATCATACACTAGTATCATATACATGATACTCCCCACTACATCCAACCTAAGTTTGCTTATGTCACATATAGTTAATGAGAAGAGAGGTGTTTTGAGTAACATAATATGTTACCATCACATAACACTTCCTAAGACAAAATGAGTCTTCAAGCTAATAAATACAACCACCTATGACACTACCTTGATGTTACTCCCCACTATAAAGATAATAGCATAGACTAGTGTCATATGCATGACACTAGTGTAAATTACTCTCCACTATGAATAGTCTAAATAAAGCAAGCTTAGCTACAAAACCCTAAGCACCCATGCACAATGAACATTAGTTGCTAAGATTTTAACACACTTAACACCTTACCTAAACATCCATGCATTGGAAGAGGCCTGAGGCCCTTCCCAGTGCTACATGGTGTACATGTGCAAGAAAGCATGCCACATAGGCAAAAATATCTGATGTGGTAAGGTAGTTAAGAGGAGAGAGGGGAGTTTGTTGACCCCGGAAAGAACCAATACCAAGCGCGCGGACCTATACAAACCACTTAAATGAAGGAAGCTTAGACTATCCACAGGGGAGAGTAACATACACATATCCCTAGACTATGTTACTACCTTCATTGTGGGTAGTAACATAAGTGTGGTGACATGCAAAACTTCATTTATTAGGTTATAGACTCATGTTGCATTGGGACATGTGATGTTATAGTAACTAGCTAAGTTACTCAAACTACCTCTCTCATTAACTCATTGCCACATAAGCAAATTTGCTGAGTTGGACTCGATGTTACTACTGAAGTTACTCCCACTGTGGCTAGTCTTAGCAACAACAAACTAAGCACGTATGCATTGACGACTTTAGTTGCTAACTTTTTAATTCACCTAGCACCCCATCTAAGCACCTATGCATTGGAAGAGGCTTAAAGTTGTTTGAGATGCAAACTAAGATATACTGTGCACTAGGACAACTATATTTAAACATCTATTTGATGTCACTAGACTGAGTATGATATAGTGCACTTGAACTGCCTTAACATTTGTAACACAAGGACCCAATGAAACTTGGTGCCATGGCCTACCAGGATTTTTAGTTATGATCTAATTTGGTTCACATATATATAATTCAGTAAAGATTGGGCGACGAGTATGTGTTCAGTAGTGTCGTCGGGTTGGCGTACGTGGTGTGTTGTCAAAATAGTAGTGCCAGAGTTTGTTCCGTCTCCCGATGATGCCATCTTGGCGGCTAAGGAACTGGAGGCTTGATGTGCTCACGGATCTGGTGAGCTGACAATGTTTGTGCCTCTAGGAATCATCATCTTGGCAGAGCCATTGTCTTAGCGTGCTTCCGGATCCGCTATTAGAAAGTTTGTGTCTTTAGGCTCATCGTCGTGGCTTCGGAGGCGACTTGGCGTGATCTAGGATCCCACATCTAGCAAGGTTTGTGTCTCTGGGGTCGTGGACATGACGGATGCAGACATTGCTTTGTGGAGGTTTTGTCCAGAGCTCTATCTCCATTACGATCATGCGTGCTCCAGCCTCACCCATGGATTCAGCGGGGTGTGTACAGGATTGGCCTGATCAGGTATAGAAAATGGCAGGTGTACGCTCTCAGCAGGGGCGGAGCCAGGATGAAACACCGAGAGGGGGCAAAGAGGTATAGTTTTTTTTTTCATAAACATGTATACAAACTAATGGCTAGATAATTTAAGAAACTAACCACACAAAACATACATATAGTGTGAAATAAAAAAAATCATATGATCACACGTAATTATGAAAAAAAAATCATTGCCAAAATAAAAGTAAACTAACCACTTTAGGCACGATAACTTGAGAAATATGAATATGTCGTTCCTTTTTGTTGGCACGTCCGTGAATTCTAGCCTTCAAGCTGCAGGAAAAATAAAAGTGTTTAAATATGTAAAGAGAAAATGTAAACATTGATTGATAAAAACATAAGCTTGAGCACATTACCTTCCATTTAGATGATTGATATTAAAATCTGTAAGTATCCTTCTTTTAGATGGATCCCGAGTAAGCTTACTCAGATAGATCGACTATTTCAAGCATACTAAGAGTTGCGGATTTTGCAAAAAAAAAAATTGTCCATTAGCTTTCTAAATAAATTGAAGTACATGAAGGCAGAATATTACATAGTCCAGAGATTTATTCTACTCCCATGTGCTCAAACTTATTCATACGAAATGATTACATAAAGCAAGATTAAATCAACCTAATTACCTTGTACCTTTTAAACACGGAATCAGAATAGACTTAAAATATGAAAATTAGAAGATAAAAATGAGAACTGAACCTAGGGCTTACCTTGACTGAAAGATTAATGAGTAGCGCATGTATTTTTTTTTCTCCTTAGGGACGGCGACCCGGCCGGCCAGCCGGGGCGCATGCTGCAGATCAAGGCTGATCTGTCGGAGGGGCGGCATGTACATAGCTTAGAGTTGCAGGCGTCGACAGCTTCAGCTCGTCACGGCGGTCGCATGAGCAGCAGATTAGTCAGGAGCCAGGCGGCGGCGCATAGGTTTCTAGCGATTTGGCAAGCAACTGCCCGTATGCATCTGCCTGCTCGTATTCTCTCTACATGGGTTGCAACTCATACATGTGCAGATGGGCTTTATATGACTGAAAAATTAAGCAGTGGGGGCAAATAGCCTGGGCTGAGCAGGGGCAACGATATATATCCTAGGCCTGGTATACGTGGGCCGAAAAATTGAGTGGGGGCATTCGCCCCCACAACCTTGTACATAGGTTCGCCCCTGGCTCTCAGCCCCGACAATCCTTTTGATTATGGGAGTGCATTTTCTACCATGGACGGTATATACCGTGCATTGATCAGCCGCTTATTCAGGGTTCTAAAGAAATCACAATGTACTAACCTGCTGTACGTCTTACATTTCTCGACCTTTCTGTCACATGGTCAGTTTGTGTGCGTCAGCCTTTCTTAAATAATGTTCTTCCGTTTGGATGCCTCCCCCTTTTGCAACTTGTGAAAATATATTCAAGAGTGATCTTATTTCAATGTTCTCTTCACAAGGAACATAAATTTGCAAATGTATCATGAATCAAACTTACTATTCAAAAGATAAAATAAATTTAAATTTTAGAATCATATAAAAAACCCTGAGTGAGTGTATTACTACTCGTCTCTACTTTGTGAGTGAGAGGAGAAATTTTCCAGGTAATAACTACAGGAAAGTTGTCAGGAGAAATAATGACTGATTGATATGACATAATTAATGGAACAAGGGGTCATAAATTGAGGTTAACTAAGCAACCCAAAGACCAGATGCATGCATAAATTGAGGTGAACTAAGCAACAGAAAGACCTGATACATGCACGGATCCGAATCTCAAAGATAACCTGGCTGATACATGCATGGTATATACCGTGCATGGTAGAATGTATTTTCTCTTGTGTTTATGGTGTTGGTCCATCCAAGTGAAGGAAGAATCCAGTGTGGTCACCTTTAGGGGTAGAAGACGTGGGGCTCCCCAAAGACTTCAATATTTCTTTTCCTTCTTTCGGATTTTTTTTGAAAGTGGACATATTCTAATTTAGAGTTTTCTGCCTTTTCCACACAAAAATATATCATGGATAATGTTTTTAGCATAAACGGTTTTGTAAAATCTCATTTACATGTTTTCTGGCACTCGTGTCCTTTTGTTGATGTGTATCCGGTGTTTTGCCCTTTGACCATGTGTGTATGAAGGGGTGGTTCATTTTGCCCCTCTATGCACGGTCATTGACTCATGGAACCCACTCGATAGAAACACACACACACTCTCTCTCTTTTAAATATCAGCAAGAATAAAGGATTACCCAAATGATAAGTGTCACACGTGTGGTAGTTAGTAACACTGTCCTGAAATTTTTATAACTAAAATTATCATCCAAAAAAATGTCAAAAAGCCTGAAACTTGCCATCCAAATAAAAAATTAACATACTTCACAACTAAAGCTGTCATCCTCGGATAACTAAATTTACCATCAAAAAACGTTTGGGCGAAATTGCTTCGTGCCACACGCGTGGCATTTATCAAGGTCCAAGATGGTTTGTCCACTTTAACCCTTTTGATTTTTCTATTAGATCTCACCTAATGCTAAGAATCTTAAAAAAAACAATATATATATACATAATTCTAGAAAATCTAGTACCTTAACTCCAATGAACAAAACACGTTGTAAGAAAATATAAGCGTCAAAATCATATGAGCCCTAGCCAACAGAGCTTCGGCCGATTGGTGGCTTTATCAGATGATCCATCCGCCGGCCAGACCGTCCCCACGCCATCACGGTCACGAAAGATCACGCCGCACCTAACCCACTACCGACCCTCTAACCCGCGCATAAAACAGTCGACCCCACCTGAACCCAGAAGTCGCTTAACATCGAAGCAATCCCACCAGAAAAAAAAACATCGAGAGGCTTTCGGGAGACAATCTCCAAGAAATGGGCAAGGGCAAGGTCCACCCGTCGCCGTCGCCACCGGTGGCCGGCGGCGAGACGGCGGAGGGGGTGCTCCTCCGGCTGCTCCCCGCGGTCGTGCTCGCCATGGCGGCGCCGCTGGGGCCCGAGGGGAAGGAGGTGCTCGCGTACCTTGTCCTCGCCTCGCTGCGCTCCTCGGCGCCGCCCACGCCGGCGAGGGAGGAGCTCTCCGCGGCTGGGGAGGGCTGCGGGAAGAAGCCCCACCGTCCGGAGCTCGGGTGCGGGTGCTTCGGGTGCTACACGGCGTACTGGTCGCGCTGGGACGGGTCCCCGGAGCGCGACCGCGAGGCGATTCACCGGGCCATTGAGGCCTTCGACGAGCACCTGGCCCGGCAGGAGGAGGGGAAGGGTGGCCGCCGCCGCAAGAAGCGAGCGGCCTCCTCCAGGGGCAAGGCCAAGGCGTCGGCGGCCGTTGACCCTCCGCTGCCTGAGCAGGGGGAGACCTCGGACGCCGCGGCTCCTGTGCTGGCGGAGGTGGTTGAGGGCAGGGAGGAGGAAGTGAAGAAGACGGTGGAAGAGGAGGAAGCCACCACCGCGTCTTGCGCCCGCGACGACGTCCCGGAGGAGCGCAGGCGCCGGGTGTGGGGCGCGGTCGCCGGCGTGTTCAACTGGAGGGGATGGGGCCTGTGGGGGTCCCACTAGTCGGTGACGCAAGCCGATATTCCTCGCCAGTGAGATCTTTAGTTCGTTTAGCCGGTTGGTGGGCTTGATGTTCTGTTGGGGTTTTAGGTTTGATTAGTCAGTCAAATCGGTATTATATTTTTTTTCCATGTATACTAGTAGTACTACTTGTATGTTACACTAGCACAATGATAATAATGGTGGTGTGGTGGTCATGTATTTGGTTCCTTGGTGTAAATATTTTGGTTTGATTGGGTTCTTCATGGTTGGTGTCATGAGTGTGTGTGTACGTTATGCAAATGGAATGTCCATTTAATGGTAAGTGGTGAAGGGTTCAAGAATTTTGCAGTATTTTTGTAGCATTTTTTCTACGTACAATGTTCGATTTACATGACTAGAAGCCGTATGGTTTGTGTCTGGTCCTACTTTGTGTGCAAATTCTATAGGAACATTTTATTGAGTTCAACTTTATGAAAATTTTACTTTGTTTAAGTGATCTACATGATGTACACAATAGTTGTGCCATGGGGGAAATGCAGGATTTTTTTAGAGGAATAGGTCTATGCCATGGTTTTTATTGAAAGAACAGAAATTTTCATGTGGTTGAACTCAGTGAAATTTTTCTATAGGATTGCATGCAAAATAGGTCAGAGGAAAAATTCATATGATTTATATCCATAGAGACCAAACATGCCATGACAAACCAAATGAGCCTTGTATACCTAGACAAAAGGTATACGTATGGAAAATTCCGAAGGAATAGAATCCTACAAAATTTCTTTGAATCAAAGAAGCCCTAAGTAATTTATGATTCAACTCTAACCATAATTACATAGGGTATTGCGCTTATAAACATAACTTGGTGCTAGCGAGTCCAAGTATAGTTGTATGCCAATATATGCATAAGACTTGAGCCTTCTAGGCTGACCTCAAATCATTTTAGGTTGACGGCTGACCATGACATGTCAACGAGTGGTCAAGCAAGGATTACACATAAGCAGGATCTAAGCAAATGTATTTAGAATCATGAGGACTTGCAGTTCATATAACCAACAGATATATGTCCTACCATAATAACGAATCAAATGTTTTTTTTAATTTTATACACCAAAAGGGAGCTCCACTTTTAAAACGTGTTATGTATCTCAAAATGTGATGTGTACATATGAAATGACATGTATGATAGTAAATGAAAATATAGGTGCACAAATGAGCATGTCACTCAACTAGCTACATGTTATCACCATTATTAGGATATGCAGTAAGCTTATTTGTAGTATTACGATTCTTTGTTATGTGGTCATTGTGAGGACTCACCTCAGGACTATATTTACTGAACGAAAACCAAATTGCAATGGAAAAACGTGTGTTTGCATTTCAATTTTAGGTTGAATATTTCATACTTGTATACAACCAATTGCTGATTTTCATTGAAATTAAATCTAAATTTTAGGCATTTGTGGAAATTGGGTCATATTAGTTATCCACATGATATATAAATCTAACTTGTGTTTTCATTTAAAAAAATCTCAAACTGAAATTGGAGAAATCGATAGATTTTTTGTTCTTTGTACATTGCAATTAAAAACATCTAGTATAAATTTCTGTAAAAAGGTTTAGACTTCTATAGACAACCAAATATATGTATGTTAGTATAACTAGTAGACATGCCCGTGTGTTGCAATGGGAGAGAGAAAAAACTATCTCACGATGTTTGAAAAGACAAAACTCCCATTGGCTTTGAATTCAAAGCAGAGCTTACTATAGGATGTTATTCAAAAGTAGCACCCAAATTCAAAGACTATGCATCGATGGAAGTACACTTGAAACTACAAATCTGTAGGGGCAAGCAACATGAAGATAGCAAAGAAGACACGTCGTCAGCTCAACATTTCTTCTGCCTGCTTCAATTATCTCTTCTTGAAGATGTGTTGTTTGTTGTCCTCCCTGTGAGGTGCTTCCTCTAGTTCTTCTTTCCCAGCCTTAAAAGTTGCTAAAACTTGTCCATTTGCTTCATTACTAAGTTTTTTCTGAAACACATCACGATGATATATAGTCAATTTTGAGTATGTCTTCCAAATAACCAAAAGCATCATTATCAATAAGTCACTGTCATCGGGATCTTTTTATAAAATATTGTTGTAGGAAAAAGGAAAAAAACATGGAAGACAAGCAGAATGCAATCTTCTAACTATAATAACTATATAATTTCGGTAAACATCACCCGTACTGGAAAGTTGTGGCAAGTTGAAAGGAATACACAAATTTGTAAACAACATTATTAGTGAGAGATGTTGAATCTGAATGAAATCAAAATAATGGCATCCATGTACGGAACCTAAATTTGCATATCGATGTTGAACTCAAAGACAAAAAAATTGTATGGATGCGTGAGTAAGACCAACACATATAGCTTACGAAAACATGTATTTATTATCCATGCAAATAAGATATTGTCAAGCTATTCATGTACAACACTACCATGAAAGATCCATATTAAAGGCCAATCCCTTCCAAGCAAAAGAAGCATCACACCAATCGACATAATCCCCGAGGAGCCTTTCCCCTCAGACACTTACACAATATTTATTTGGTTCTAAAAAATGGACAGTAGCAACAATGAAGATTGACGCTCGCTGCAAACAGGGTAAACTAAAAAAGCACACAGTGATTTATAATAGCAATATAGGGTCATCTAGGGAATGTCTCTTGAATATGCATCATGTGTGGTTTCATCACTCTTCTGTCCTCCAAACGGTAATTTTCTCCTCGCCAAAAGACATAATAATGCAAACAACAAGGTTAAGTGTGGCCATGTAATATTACCTTATTTATTCAGTTTGTATAATCAAGTAGGGATCGTACTATTCCTTAAAGGAAGAAACATAACACTAAAAATGATAACATTTAAAGGAGTGTGGCGTTTCGGTGCCCAGGCTCATCTGCACCCGGTCAGTAAAAAATCAAAATAAATAGTAATTTTTTTCAAAATATTCTTTTTTTGTGTGTGGTAGGTAGTTTGATGCGTGAGGTTCGCTCCAATTTTTACATCATTTGGAATATGAGCAGCTCTCAGCAAAAAATACAAATCGGGTTGGAAAAGTGAAAGTACAGTAAACATTTTTACAGACCCTGGATTTGTCTTTTTTTGCCAAGTGCTCAGATGTCCAAATGATTTGAAAACTGGAGTGAACCTCACGCATAAAAATATCTACCACACAAAAAATTGGAATTTTTTGAACTTTTCTAGTATTTTTTTGATTTTTTTGTCGGGGTGGGTGCAGCTGAGCCCGGGCTCAGAAATGGATTACCGCATTTAAAGTCCAAAGTTTGAATAATGAGGTGTTGCAAATAACAAAGGTACACATACATGCCAACAGAATTGTTATGTGTTCTGAAATAATAGATAGATCTTTGGCATGTAATCTATGAATAACATCAACGTGGAAACTTATTAGTTATTTAATATATTGTCAAAGCTAGAAAGGATAACCATATTAGAAAGTAACTTATATGTGCACTGCTGAACAACAAACTACAGTTGGAAATAGATGTTTTGATGGACCATAGTTGCTCCATTCAGAAAGTCTCCTTTGACCTAACAACGATATTTATTGCTAGATGCAAAATGAACGTCGAGGTATAACTCTAGGCCCAAAAACATAAAGCATTGTAAGTTTGTTTCAGAAAGCTATGCTATATATACATGATTCAAATATGTCAACTAAGCTAAAAGGTTTCATCCATTGTTAAAGGTAAATAATTTTATATTAAACATACCAATTTGTTGGGCACTACATCTCTGGGAGATAAGAATACATGTACATACATAATATTTCTTTCTAGTGCCAATTAGCTAATCAACGGGGAACGAAGTAGGGAGAAAACCCATGGCAAGCAGGCAATCACATTGACACAGAAAAACTTTGAATTTAGTTCAATATTAATGGAAGAATCAGAATTAGTGAATCATAAACATGAAAGCTCGAAGCACTAAGTCCGCTTGTGCTTAGTTCGGTCACCATAATTTACTTTATCTTCGCTATGAGTGAAATGATCATCTACTTATCTCCTTGTAAAAATGTTCTCAATAAGCCTGAATATTAATCAGATTTTAGGCCAATCACTTGCTCCAAACTGCCATACGAAATCCCAACAAATTGGAATAGATGGCAGTAGTGGTGGACATAGAACACCCGCTAACAACTTTTCAATTTTTTTGATAATGTTTATACTTTGAGCCTAAAACTAATGTTTTTAAGACAATATTGACTAATTAATCTTTCCAGTAGGCTTTTTACGAGTGACGTGTTATGTATTACTACTAAGAAATAGTAAATATCATAGTTAAAAAACTAAATTTTGCGGTTGAAACATGGATTATGTAAGAGACCAAACAGTTCTAAACCTGAAGCAAAAAAATAGGGCATCTAAAAGTATTTTGTAGGGAAAAAACACCACACACACTCTTTTATTTTTATCTATAGATCCGCGTGTTAACCCACAAGTATAGGGGATCGCAACAGTTTTCGAGGGTAGAGTATTCAACCCAAATTTATTGATTCGACACAAGGGAAGCCAAAGAATATTCACGAGTATTAGCAGTTGAGTTGTCAATTCAACCACACCTGAAAAACTTTATCTGCAACAAAGTTTTTAGTAGCAAAGTAGTATAGAAGTAACGGAAACTGTGGTAACAGTAACAGTAGCAGTTCTGTAGCAATTGTAACAGTGGCAATGGCAAAGTAAGTTAGAAAAGATATGTGAAAAAGCTCATAGGCATTGGATCGGTGATGGATAATTATGTCAGATGGCATTCATCACGCAACAGTTATAACCTAGGGTGACACAGAACTAGCTCCAATTCATCAACATAATGTAGGCATGTATTCCCTATATAGTCATACGTGTTTATGGAAAAGAACTTGCATGACTTCTTTTGTCCTACCCTCCCGTGGCAGCGCGGTCCATAAGGAAACTAAGGGATATTAAGGCCTCCTTTTAATAGAGAACCGGAACAA